CTCTTTGCTGTTTTTGTGTGAGAGGGTCCAGCCTCATAGCCCGGCTACGACGTCATCAGTCTCGTGAGGCCCGGGCTGGCCTTGGCCCGGCAGTGTTCCTGCCTCAGCCTCACAACTGCTGAGAGACCAGGTGTGCACTGCCACACCTGGCTGCCTGCCTCCCACCCTTCTTCTTTTTTCTTTCTCTCTCCTTGAGATGACCATCTCACTATACTGCCCCGACTGGCCTCAAACCCCTGATCTCAAGCAATCCTTCCACCCTGGCCTCCCAGCTTGGACTACAGGTGTGTGCTGCTGCGGCTGGTCTTGGGGTCTTGGTGAGCCCAGGAAGACCGTGTGGGCTCTCTGCGCTTCCCGCCTCCTGCCTGCACACACCAGCCGTGGGCTGACGGCACCCACACACGGCCTCAGCCCGGGAACCAAGACGTCCCCGGAGACGGCAGACACACATCCAGGGCGCCCTTCTTTGTCTTGCTTTCTCTTGCCCCTCCTGACTGCCTTGACAAACCTGAAATGGGGTCACCTTTACGCAGAGGCTGCTTCTGCCTGATCATCAGACCTGGGTAATGAGACACGCCAGGGAGGAGAGGCTGTGGGAGGAAGACTGATTGGTTTATTGATTGATTGATTGACTGAGCAGTCTCAGCCTTCCCTGTCTATTGAGCTCTGTCTATGCTGGCCCAGGGGTATGGGCTGTGATTACAAGCAATGGAGGCCGACGGGCCCTGGGAAGCAGGAGGCGCATCTGGTGTGGGCAGCGGGAAGGGGGTGCAGGGACTCTGCCATCTTTGTCAAGAAGGCTGAAGTTAGAAAGGACCCAGAGGCTCCAAAGCTCTCAAGGATGCTGGACAGAGGGACCTCTGGAGAAGACGGAGCTCAGGAGCTAAAGCCTAATAGAACCACAATGCAAAGACACTTTTGCATTTCAGTTAGACATATGCAAATAGCCATGAGTGTTTATTGAGTGCCTACTTAGTGCCAGCCTGCTCTCCCACATACTCCTATGGTGGTGTCAGCGAATGAGCTGCACTAGCCTCATATTCACCATCGTATCACATGGTAGGAGCAGCAGGCAGGAAATCGGGCAGCTACAACTTGGAACACCAAGCGCCCTGGCTCCGAGAGCTGGGGTTGAAGCAATCCAGTCAAAGGGCAGATCTGGGCAGACGGGGGGGGGGGTCAGGAAAGCTTTCCCAGGAGGCCGCAAGGAGTTGCTTTAGGATATTAAGGCAGCTCACATCTGTAATCCTAACTACTCAGGAGGCTGATGTGTGAGGACTGAGACTTAAAGCCAGTCCAGGCAGGAAAATACGTGAGACTCTGATCTTCAATGAACACCAAAAAGCTGGAAACGGAGCTGTGGTTCAAGTGGTAGAATGCTAGCCTAGAGCAAAAGCGAAGAGGCAGCGTGTAGGCCCTGAGTTCAAGCCCCAGTACTGCCATGCACACACATGTACACGCATAACACACACACACACACACACACACACACGAGGAGTAGAAATTCAAGAGGGACAGGATGCCCAGCTCCGCTCCTGCCCCAGGTAAAGCAATGGAGAAGACACAGTGGGGAAAGCCTGGAGGACTCCCCAAGGAGTAGAGACTACGCACAGCACAGGCCTCAGGTAGGGGCTCCCAGGGGGGCATGTGGCCAGAACCTTTGAGCTGGCTCCTACCAGGCTGTGGCTATCTGGCGTTCCCAGATCCCAGGTGTAAGCCAGCAAGGCACAGGGAGGGGGAGTGTGACAGCTGGCAGTCAGGGCAGGTCCAGGCTGGAGGTGACCCGGCACAGCGCCAGCAGGGACCTGGACCTTGGTGACAAAGGCTCAGAGCCACCACCTGGAGTCCTGAGGAAGGCTGGCCCCTATCCCATTATACCCAGCAGCTCAGGGCCGGGGCGGCGGGCAGCCATCCTGCACCTGATCCAGTCTCCCGCCCCCAAACCGTGGTATCTGTGCCCAGTCCCCCAGCTGCTGGCCCACGGGTCGGGACACACACCTGCCCGACCGGTCAGACTTGCTGCAGAGTGCCTACAATCATCTGTACAGTCAGCTGGGACATGGCAGAAATACAATATAAAGTTACACCTGCTGAGGGGTGTCTGACTCACTGGCAAGAACAAAGGGAACAAGGTGGGGGGTGAGGGGCACCCTGTGCTCAGGACCTCCCTGGAGAGGCAGTGAGGACACCGGCAGGCTAGTGCTGAAACTATGCAAATGGAACTTGAACTTATTCAAATGCAGGCACCATTCTAGAAGGCAGCTGGCTGGCAAAGCCCTAACCACACAGATCCACACCCAGCACCCAGGCCTTTCTGGGCTGAAAGACTTTGAGGAAACAAAATGGAATAAAAGGCAGGAAGCTTGTTGGGTCAGGAAAACAGCCAGGAAAACTCATTTTGTGGAGGACAATTGGGGAACTCTGAGTAGGACAGCCGGTGGGTGGGGCTGTGTACACAGGTGATTGGCTGCAGTAACGATTGGTTGACTTGAGCCCAGCCCTCAGCCCCAGATGTTGGCCTAGCACATCAGCCTCCTGAAACATACCAGGCTGAGGTATTTAGGGGTCAAGCACCTCGCTTTCAAACTGATACCCCACAACCACCTGTCTGTGACAAATGGCCACGAGGGGCAGGCCAACCGCTCTTCACTTTTCTGTCAAGTTTGGCAATCTCAACACAAAAACATACACAGGCTGCGTGGAACAGCGGGGCTCACGCCTGTCATCTGCGGATGGAGATCTGAAGCCAACCCAGGCAGGGAAGTCCAGGAGATTCTAATCTCCGATGAACCAGCAAGAAGCTGGAAGCAGAGCTGTAGCTCAAGTGGTGGAGCCACGAGGACAACCACCCAGGCCTTGACCGAGTTCAAGCCCTTAGATTGCACAAAATACTATCCGCTGGAGTAGACAGAAAAGGCCACAGGGACCGGGCCCGTCCTTCCCAGCTCTGCGGTTGGTGGGGAAGTCTCTGGGTGGCACAGCTCCGGCCGGCTGCCCATATGTCACCGCTCTATGTGTGCACTCATTGTGGCTCCTGAGTTGGGGTGCTGACTCCGGGGGCTCCCTCCTGTTGGCTCACGGCCACTGCAGCGGTCCAGCTCAGCCCAGCTCAGCCCTCTTCTCCTGCTGGGCAGGACGGGTGGGAGAACCAAGCTTTCTTCCCCCGGAGGTCCTGGCTGGTCCCCCTTTGAAGTCCAGGAGGCCGAGCCCCTGGTGGAGGAAGGCCCTGTGACGGGCAGGGGCTCAGGCCTCCTTGCCCAGCCTCCTCAGTGCACACGTGGGCCTAGAGCACCCCAGACACCAGGCAACGAGCATCCCTCCGTCCCAAGGGGGTGCCGATGGGGACCACTTCCCCACACTCCTGACTTCCTACTTCCGCTATTCCCTCCCCTTCCCTTCCCAGAAGGCCTCTGTGCAGAAGCCACAAGACACCACTCTAGAAAGGCCGACTGGCCTCCAGTATGGCGGGGGGGGGGGTGACTGTGGCTACAGACGGGGTCACGGGAAGGCCGCATCACGAGGGTCGCGAGGGCCCACGTACTCACAGGTCCAGCTTCTGCCTAACCTTTCCCACGCCCTGCCCTGGCCCTCGTGGGAGCTGCTGTCCCCAGGTCGGTTCTGTCACCTCCTGGCATGTCCCCGGGGAATGGAGCAGGTGTTCTTGCCACTGCGGCCAGCAAGGCTGACAGCCGAATGTGGCGAGTGACAAACGCTCACAATGAGAGCTCACTGCCGGCGACCATCTGGACAGAGCCAGAGGGCCCGGAGGAGGGTCAGCCCTCAGCAGGGAGACACTGGCCCAAACCATCCACAGTGGCCTCCTCCAGGGACCTCCCCCGTGCCAGGCCCTGGGAGAGAAGGGCTTCCCCAGATAAGAGAGATAGGAGCCATGGGGGGGAGGGGGGGCAAGGGAGGAGGGGAAGGAAGCCGCAGGGATGGGAGGAAGGGAGTGTCTGAGTTTAGATAAAGAACAAAAAAAGGAAGCAGCTGGTGGCAGTGGTTCCTGCCGGTCAGGCCAGCAACTCAGGAAGCTGAAATCTGAGGATCCCAGTTCGAAGCCAGTCCCAACAGGAAAGGCTGTGTGAGACACTCATCTCCAATGAACCATCAAAAAGCCGGAAGTGGAGCTGTGGTGCTAGCCTTGGGCACAAAATCTCAGGGACAGCACCTGGGACCTGAGTTCAAAACTCAGCACAGGCAGCAAAAAGGGAGAGAAAAAAGAAGTGATTTGGGACCAGGAGAGGAGCTTCAGTGGCTCCGGAGGTCAAGTCCCCAGGCTACCGCAGAGCACCCCAACTCGTGACCACACAGAACACCGCAAGGCCAGCCACACTGATGGCTGGGCCGACTTGGGGGTGTAGGGCTGTGTCCTCACCCTGAAATCCTTACTCATCTTCAAACCTGGCCGACAATGTGATGGCCAGTCCTGCAGGACCCTGGCTGACCTTGCCGAGAACATCCTCACTGGCTGGGAGGAAGGCGCCAGGCTGACCACGTGTGGCCACCACGTGTGCCACTCATGTGGGTCCCTAAGCCACACTGGACATTAGGACAGTCAGGGCTTTGCTTGCAGCTGAAGAAAAAGCCTGGCCAGATTTGGCTGAGATGCTGGGAGAGCACGGAACGGTCCAGATTGGGAATGTTAGGTTGTCTGTCACCAGCTACTCAGGAGGCTGAGATTTGGAGGACTGGACTCTTATCTCCAATAAACTAATCAGAAAAAGCAGGAAGTGGCTCTGTGGCTCAGGCGGCAAGACCAGCCAAAAACAAAACAACCAGGAGAAGCGATGGGACGTCACTGCCCTGGGAGCCCAGCCCTGGCGGCCGGCTCCCTGCAAGGACAGTAGAGCCACCATGGTGAGTCTGTCCACATAGGGAGCCTACGGTCTCCTCCGCCCTTGCTCAGCGTGCCGCGTGACATCAACACCACACAGGCCCCCTTGCCACACACCCGGACGCCATGGCCTGGCCCAGTATTCCCCCCCCCCCACAGCGCTCACCTCCTCTGCCAGGTCTGCCTGTCCTGCTGCTACCTGATGATGCCCAAGAGGGACCCCGCATCCCAGCCCCGCCCACACCTCCCGACACAGCCAACGGCCGGCCACTCAGATGACTGAAGCTCTCTGGTCCAACTGGGCGGATGACTTGGCAGGGACTCCAAAGTCCCGCCAGGTGCCAGCTGTGCAAATGAAACCAACACACCTGCAGGCAAAACCCAAGGCGGCGGGAACCCGGGCACCCTGCCCAGAAGCGGAACAAAGCGGGGCTGCAAAGGCCTGCAAAAGGGTGCAGGGACCCCAGGTAGGCAGGAAGCGGGGGACTCAAAAGCCAGCGGGAGGCTGGGGAGGGTAGAGAGGAGCTTCAGCCAACGGGCCGCCCCGGCTCTGCTGGCTGCTAGAGAGGAACAGAGTTAATCAGCAGGAAATTGATGGCCGCCACCAGCAAGGCACATGCGTGGGCACGCACGCATGCGCACGCACACATGCGCACAGAAGCACCTGGCCATCTCCTGCAACCCATTTTTCTGCTAGATCTTCAGATCTCAGCTCCTGAGTAGCTCGATTTACAGATTTACCATTTTTCTATTTCTAACACTCCTCTGTCTCTGCTTCAGCACAATGATCGCCACAGTGGCAGTATCACGTTTCTGGCGTGCTGGCGATGCCGCCAGTGTTTATTAGTTATTTATAAAACTGATACTTTATCATGATGAGAACATACCCTTCGATTCCCTTTACAGCATATTGATTAGGGAGAAATGGCAGTTCAATTTAATCAATTTCTCCCCTTACATATATTGTAGTAGTTTTACTTCTTTAACTCATTAGCACAGCAGTTACTAATTAAGTTCTCCTGATATTGACCTTTCTTCCTTTTTCTCAGACCATGGGGTTGGGATGGGTAGCTTGTGTGTAAAGTATTTCTGGAGGGCTGGGAAGGTGGCTCAGTGGTAGGGTGTTTGCTTCGCATGCAGGAGGCCCTGGGTTCGATTCCTCAGCACCACATAAGCAGAAAAAGCTGGAAGTGGCGCTGTGGCTCAAGTGGTAGAGTGCTAGCCTTGAGCTGAAGAGCTGAGGGACAGCGCCCAGGCCTAGAGTTCAGGCCCCACGACCGACCAAAAATATGTGTGTGTGTATATGTGTATTTCTGGATTGTGTAACAGGGTCTTCTCTTCCTTATGCTCAGGCCTATCCGTGTGACTTATTTTTTTTTAATTTTTATTTTTTTTTTGGTCAGTTGTGGGGCTTGAACTCTGGGCCTGGGCGCTGTCCCTCAACTCTTCAGCTCAAGGCGAGTGCTCTACCACTTGAGCTACAGCGCCACTTCCGGTTTTCTGGTGGTTTATTGGAGATAGGAGTCTCACGGTCTCTCCTGCCCAGGCTGGCTTTGAACTGCGATCCTCAGATCTCAGCCTCCTGAGTAGCTAGGATTACAGGCGTGAGCCACCAGCGCCTGGCTGTGATTGTCTTTCAGAATGAACTGGAGAGCTCTCCATTTCTGGCTAAAGCCAAGGAACAGTGTGCTGCTGTGGGTCTTACCAAATTTGAAATTAACTAGCCATGATACTTGGGGTACACAACTTCTGGGCTAGGGGAGGCAGCACTTGAATAAGAAATCACTAAACCCTCCCCAAGGAGGTACACACGCAGCTGCAGAAAAGCTCCCATGTAATTGAGATTCTCAAATTTCAGCTACTGTTATGAATCTTTTTTTAAAAAAAAATATTATTATGAAGGTGATAGACACAGGGGTCACAATTACATAAGTCAGATAAAGAGTACTGGGGTTTGAACTCAAGGCCTGGGGGTGGTCCCTGAGCTCTTCTGCTTAAGGGTAGCTCGCTGCCACTTTGAGCCACAGGGCCACTGAATTGGAGATAAGAGTCTCAAGGACTTTCCTGACTCGGCTGGCTTTGAATTGAGATCCTCTGATCTCAGCCTCCAGAGTAACTAGGATTAAAGATGTGAGGCACCAATGCCCAGCTAAGAGTACATTTCTTCTGGAGCAATGTCTCACCTTCCCTCATTCTCTCTGCATCAATTTTCTATCTTCAAAATCTCTTCCAGATCTGTCCCCTTTCCCATTCTTGTTATTGTGTTTCCTTTATCCATTTTATTGCTCAAATCATTTGCCAGAGGTTAGTGGACTTGTCTGTTTAGAAACATAATCTTCAGGGCTGGGAAGATGGCTCAGTGGTAGAGCGCTTGCCTTGCATGCCTGAGGCCCTGGGTTCAATTCCTCAGCACCACATAAAGAAAATGGTCGGAAGTGGTGCTGTGGTAGAGCACTAGCCTTGAGTTGAAGAGCTGAGGGACAGCGCCCAGGCCCAGAGTTCAGGCCCCATGACCAGCCCCCCCCCCAAAAAAAAGAAACATAATCTTCGCTTGGATGTATCTGCTAATTTCACTGGAAAGCTGTTTTCATTTCTGCCTTTACTTTTTTTTCTTCTTTTCCTTTAGGGCTGTTTGTATTTTTCGCTAAGATCTCAGGCTGAATGTCCCATTTATTCTTTTTCTTCCTTTTTAATACTGAAAGCATTTAAGGGGAAGAGAAGGGTGCCAGCTGTCTCCCATAGCTTTGGTGACATGGTGTTGTGGCTTTCAACATTTCTCTAAATATATGTCACTCTATTCTTTATTTCCTCTTCAGCCCAATAACAGTTTAGGCGAGTGCTTTACATTTAGTCAGAGGCTGGTTTGTAGCTGGAGTTTAAGTGTGCCATAGTTGTATGTGCCTGTCCTGGGGCTTGCGTTCAGAGCACAGTACGGTCGCTTAGCTTTTTCACACAAGGCCACAGCTCCACTTCTGGCTTGTTGGTGGTTAGTCAGAAATAAGGAAGAGTCTCCCAGACTTCCTGCCCAAGCTGTCTTCAAACTGTTATCCTCAGCTCTCAGCCTGAGTAGCTGGGATTACAGGTGTGAGCCACTGGCACCTGGCTTTTTAAATGTCCAGTCATTTGGCTATGTGGAACAATCAAAGGCCCCACGCTGGCCGGTGTCCGTCCTGGGAGAATGGAGGTCCTGCAAGTGGCTACTGGGAGCTGAGAAGGTTTTGCAAACCATATGTGTGTTCACAACACAAAACGTTTTCAGACATTTACTTGCCATAATATTCTAGGGAGAGAAAAACGACAGGATGCAGGGTTCTATGTGCACGTAACGGTCCAGAAACAGCCTGATACATTCATGTAGAAGACGGAGGAATTCACGAGAGGACCTGGCCTGGTCACTGCCAGTTGGGGATTATGAGGATCAATTCTTGCTCTAACATTTATCAGTATTTACCAAACATCCCTATACAACCATCAGCCTGGCTAAGGACAATCCTGCTTTCAATGTTGATTTGCCTACAGCCAGGAAACCAACCTGCTCTGTGGCTCAACCAGGGCTCCAGGTAGGCTCCCCGCGATCAGGGAGTCGAGGAAGCCACTAGAAGGACTGGAGGTGCGCCGATTCACACCCAGACGATGCTAACACAACCAGCTGCACCCAAGACACACCAGGAAGCCTGCCCTGTGGCCATCCACCCAGAGGGGACAAGTGAAGGAGACAGAGATGGAGGGAAGGAGAGATGCTATGGGGGGGTGGGGTGAGGGAGTCCAGCTGTCATCACAGTACATATACAACCTGTGCTTTTTCTCTTGTCCCTGCCCTGTGTCCTATATCCTGGCCAGAGAGGCAAACGTCCACTCGGCTACCAAGGCACCAGGAGGCAGCGACCCGCGGAGTCTCCGGGTCACCCAACTACCCAGGCGAGCCATCCCACTCAGCACACACAACATGGTTAACTGTGGACTCCCCCCACCCCCAACCCAGTGCTGGTGGCTCACACCTATAATCCCTGCTACTCAGAAAGCTGAGATCTGTGGATCTCAGTTCAAAGCCAGCCTAAATACCAAAGTCCATGAGATCCTTATCTTCAGTGAACCACCAAAAGCCAGAAAGTGGTGAAAGTGGTGCTGTGGCTCAAGTGATAGAAAATGTCCCCAAGGCCCACCCAGGGGAGACCGCCCCTCCCCCACTCGCGCCGGCCTCTCCCGCGTGGCACAAGTCCTCGCCTGCTTCCTGGAAACCCAGCTGTCCGCCCTTCAGGAACTGGGCCTTTGTGTTTTTGTTTTCTGAAACCCACCCGGGCAGCAGCTGGCACGCTGGTTCTCTTAAAAGGAGGCACTTGGGGCCGTGGCCTGGCTGCGTTGGGCCTGTGTGGACAGAAGGGCACAGGGGTGGTGACACGAGGACCCGTCCCTTCTGAGGGCAAAGCAGCTGGGAAGAGAAGGCCCTCTAGGGCCCCGATGGCGGCAGAGGGGGAAGAATGGGAAAGGAGGAAGCTGGCAGAAGAAACAGGAAGGCTCAAGTTAGCCTAAGCAATGTGACTTCCTTAGTAACTTCCCCCTCACACACGGGCCTGAGGAACTGGACTGACCAGAGCCCAAGGTGTCTCCTGGGCTAGGGGGGTTGGGCTGCTCAGGAAATCTTCAGCCTGGGGGGGCGGGGGTACCAGCTGCTGGTGGTCTCCACACTGGGGCAGGATGTTTGTTCTCCAGCTTCCTCCCGGAAAACACAGCTGCTTGTTTCCTGACAGATGACTATCTCCATGCCTCCTAGCATGGGGTCCTTGAGGTTTTTCTGGGAAGACCTAAGACCTGGCCCTATTTGGGGTCCCAGAGGACCAGACAGACCCTAGCCCGAGCTCCCGCCACAAACAGAAGGGCAGGAAAGGGAAGTTCTTCCCCGGCCCAGCCTGGCTGACATCTCCGCACCTCTCACAGCTCTGTCCTCAAATCTAACATGGAGTGGCAAGCCTGTCACACTAGTTTCTCAGAAAGGCTGAGATCTGAGGATCACAGTTCAAAGCCAGCCTGGGCAGGAAAGCCTGTGAAACCATCTCCAATTAACCAGAAAAAGAAGCCAGGAGCAGAGCTATGGCTCAAAGTGGTAGAGCATTACCCTTGAGACCAAAAAAAAAAAAAAAAAAACAACAACAAAAACCTCACAGACAGTGCCCAGGCCCTGAGTTCAAACCCCAGGACCAGCACCAAAACCAAAGACA